GCAAGTTGTTTCCCAAGGAGTATGAAAGTCTCCCGACACAGGTTAAAATGGCTGTTGTTTTGTATTCCTTGATGGTGCTAGTATAAACGTTCAGTGTGTTGTGGGGAATTTCTTACTTTGTAATCATTGTTGACAAGTTATTGGATTAAATGAATAAAGATCATTGTGTTTCTAATTCAGACATTTTTGTTAAATGGAAAACAGTGTTTTTATATGTTGTGTTTAGTAGTAATGTAGTTTTTTGAATGAACTGGGAAAGAAAATGTCTCCCAAAAGGTATATATTATAGTCACCCTCTTGGAAAAATTTAGTGTACCAGACTAATACTTGTTTACTTGCATCTGGTGGGAAAAATCATTTTGTCTTTGAATTCCATTCTCCTCCTAAAGGGGAGTTATTGTATCTTTCACATTTGGTTCATTGCCCATTGGGATATTCATTGGTTATCACAAATTGCCTCAATGCCTTGGCAGAAGTCCAGACAGTACATGGACAATTTGAACTTGGGTACTGGTCGTTGCTGCCCACATGAGTCCTGAAACTGTGGCTCTATTCCCTTTTTCAGCTTCATTTCCCAGGGAAAAGTAGAGTGAGCTATCCTTTCGTTTCCATATGTTCATCCTCACCCGCTAGACACTGGTATGTGTCATCTTAGCTGACTGGAAAGGAGTTTAGAATCAATGAAGGATGTTAACAATGGATTTGTACAGTTTCCTTTTTTATTTCTATGCCATGTTTATTTAAAAAAAAAAACAACAGGTGTTAGCTGCATTATATTTTTCTAAATATTATGGCTGATAAAAGAAAAAATGTATTCGGTTTTCCAGTGCCTTTCCTTCTTTTTGTCAGTATAGCTTTATCTCACAGAGAATTAACCCTGTAGATTATTGTTATCCATAGTTGAAAAAAATAAAGCATCTCTTCTACACTGAAGATCTTTGAACATATGTATATTTATAGCATACATATAAAATATATGTATTTATAACTCTCACATATAATATGTATATTTATAGCTCACCTTTATGTATATTGCTTCAATGCAAAATTTTACTTAACACCAGCTTAAAAATGATCCTGCACACTTGACAGCCTTGCTGCTTTTGATATTATCCCATAATCTGATGGTAAAAACTAGCTAGGAAACAGTTACAAAGTTTGTGGTTCAGTAGGTCAAATAGAATTTGTCTCAATTTTTGTGCCAAGAATGATGGTGCAAGTTCACATGAATGATGGTATCTTATTTACAGATGTTTCTTTGGTTTTATAAAACTATTACTTTCTGATAAATGCAGTTTTGTAAAGAAAGTAAAAGGAGCTCCATTGCAGCAATTTATAGACTGTGGAAGGAGAAGTGATATCTAAAGATTATAAGAGTCAAATCCATCCATCCACCTTGACAAATAGATTTCTGTCCTTCCCTTGAAGATTTCCAGGAAAAAAACACCCACATTCTAATTAGCAGAGATGTCAGTTGAGTGGGATTTTCTAAATTTCATTTTTGCAGTTTAAATTTATTTCATTAATTCTTTTTCTTTCAAGAAAGAGAGGGGCCAAGTAACTTCTTTGGGAAATTATGCTTCTTAATTTACCTGGGGGGCCTATTTTGAAGTAAAGTATAAGTGGTAAAAAAAGAGCTATGTCATTTCAGGTTTTGGTGTTAAAGATTTGATATTTGTGCATTGGTACATTTTTTTCTTTGACCGATTTATCCTTGTGGTGGGTGGAATGTTTGAATAAGGAGGTGATGTTCTAAATCATTATTTCTCCCGCATTTACAACCCATCCTGTACTTCAGCACTCCGTGTTGTCTGTCCTGAGGTGAATCTGATTCACTGACTCACGGTTTATCCGCTGGAGAACATGTAACATGTGTTGCAGAAGTACCTTATTATTTCAATACGTGCTTTTGCTACTCTTTCCCAAAACAGTTCTTGTCCAGAGTGTTCTGTTGTTTCTTGTTCTTAGGGTGCAGGTTCTTCCATTTAGTGAGTCTGCCTGCCAACTGTCTGTGATGGTGGTTCAGTTTCTGCTGCGGTCTGTACGTTTGTGCTGTGACGCAGCTTCTGGAAGTGTTTAGTCAGTCCTGTGTGTGGCAGCATCCCTGCAGAGAGGTTCACGTCTGCCTCTGCCAGTTCAGGACCGCTGTTGCTTTTTAGATCTTTTGGCTCGGGGATGGTACCGCGATTCTCAGCCGTGAAGGCAGTATGAATCTAGGCCCGTACTTGGTGTGGTACTTGCCTAACAGGGTTCTGACTTCCCTCCGCTGACTTTCTCCCCGCTGCCCACGTTGGGGCCAAGTATCCTTTGGCTTCCTGGCCAGTGAGCTAAGCTTTCATGTTCCTGGTTTCACAGGCAGGGTGATTTCTCCTGAGTATTTGGCCTTAGGAAGATTCTTCCAAATGGGACCTGTGGCTTGAAATCACCTCTCTGCAGCGGTGTTGAAAGTCCTCTTATTACAACCGCTGAGACCTGTAATGGGTTCCCTGCGTCATAGCTTCCGTTTCTGTTCTCTGCTCTTTGATTTTCCTCTTTGTTTCTCACAACGGCAGGTTTTCCTCATTGTTTCTAACTCAGCCCTTTATCTCCTGTTTGACTGGGTATATTTTGTCAAGCATTTCAGTGTGTTTGGAGCTGGGCAGGATTGAGAGGCAGAAGATGCCATTGTAGGTGCTGTGCTAAGTCGCTTCAGTCGTGTCTGACTCCCTGTGACCCCGTGGGCTGCAGCCCGCCAGGCCCCTCCGTCCATGGGATTCTCCAGGTAAGAATACTGGAGTGGGTTGCCACTTCCTCCTCCAGGGGATCTTCCCGACCCAGGGATCCAACCTGTCTCCTGCATCTCCTGCATTGCGGTCGGGTTTTTACCACTAGCATCACCTGTGAAGATGCTGTTAACTAATTTTAACTTATTTTAGATTTTTATAGTCTTTTTTCTCGTCATCTTTCTGTCAACATGTGTCATATTTCATGTACTGAGTACTTTGATAAATGAAGTCTTTGGCTATATTCCTTCCTCCAAGAAACTTGGTCGTAATGTAGGCCCTTGTAGAAACAAGAGTACGAATCTGATACAGAGGTGGTGCCAGATAATAAGCCTACTTACGGAATAAAGGGGTTAGAAAAGGAATGGTAAAGTCAGGGAGATTAAAGTAAAATATGAAGAATGTTTAGAAGGTGACAGAGTTTACTGCATTAGATGCAAAGAAGTGGGTCTAGCTGGAGGAGAGCCTTCAAATGTCAAACCAAGAGGTTTAGATTGTATCTTGTATGTAAGAACAAAAAGCTGTGAGAGGTTTTGGGTGGGAGAGATGTCTAGTTTTTTATACTCTTAGTGTACTGTTTTGAAAGGCTAGCACATTGCTCTACTAAAGAAAAAGTTCTGTATTTTCCTTCTTTTACTTAGGAGAGGTTAAACTCAAGCCTTTGCAGGTAGAAAAATGAGTATGCTTGATTGCCTTGTTTGTGTAGCCAAGAGGTTAGCTAGTCAGTGCAGACAGGGGCCGGGTCTCTGTCGTGAACTAGGAGAGCTGGCTGAGAACAGCAGTGGCCGCCAGGGAAGCTCAGGCCTCTTCTCACAGGGTCTTCTTGACTGTCAAAAGTTACAGACTTCTTTACCTTTACAAATCACTGTTTGGTCTGATTAAAGTACATCCACCCAGGGACGCGTCTTATCCCTGGGCTTTCCCGGTGGCTCGGATGGTAAAGAAACTGCCTTCAATGCAGGAGACTTGGGTTCAGTCCCTGGGTTGGGAAGATCCCCTGGAGAAGGGAATGACAACCCAAGTCCCATGGACAGAGGAGCCTGGTGGGCTATAGTCCATGGGGTCGCAGAGTCAGACATGACTGAGCCACTAAGCACTTAGCATGAGTATATCTGCTGGCGTGGTTTGATCCGTGAGCTATGGGTTTGCAACCTTCATATAGAAAGCGTTCATTTATAATATTTTTATTACATTCTGTTATAAAATTTTAAAAATATATTAATTATTCAAAATTGTCCATGCAATTCAGAAAACCTTGAATTCAGAAAAAATTTAAATTCTGTTTGAGTGTTCTGTATCTAATAAGTAGCTGTTTCTCTATGATAATAATCTTGTTGGGATATTTGGCTTCCTAAATTAGAAGTAAAAATATTTTCTAAAACTCTTGTCTTACAGGTAAAAGAATGTCATATTTCAATATTTGCACCTGAAATCAGGGTGTAACTGTCAGGCCACATGGATGAGTGCCAACTTTTGCATTTCTGGTGTGTATCCTGTGACCGTTCTGTCTGGGGTGAGTGATTTCTAAGAGGAGCTGGCAACCAACCAGATGCCAGCCAGCCATGGACTGCCCTCACAAATAATGCTGGGAGTTATAATAAATTAAACACTGTCTGGTGATCTGTGATGTGTAAGGCAGTTAATTTAGTTGGTCTGGATTAACTGTCAGCTCCAGAAAACTGTATTCCCATAATGTGATATCTGTACTTAGCATGTTCAGAAGTGAGTCATAATTAACAATAGGGAATCATTTGTTAAAATGTGTGAAGTTATAAAATGCCTAAGATCCTTTTGGATTTACAGCAGTATTTTAGTGGTTTGCCATATATTTTAAATAATTTTAATTTTAAAAGTTCAAGGACTTAGTATTTCTTGAAGGATAGTTATAATTTTGTACAAAATGGGGTTTTTTGGGTCATACGTCTTCCATTGCCTTATAATATCAGTTTTGCTTCCCATATAGCATAAAATTGTATACATTTTCAATATTCAGGTTTCTTAAAAGTACATTAGCTAGATTATTTAGAGATTCTCATTTACAGTGAATTTTTTGTTTGTTTCATTCTGGGAAATTACATTGGGTAAAAAGCCTGTTTGTTACCTTATCCATGCATTTTTCTACTTATTTAAATTATCTTATTTAACCAAGCCATTCATTTTTTTTAGAACATCCTTCAAAGAGTTCATGCATCTTACTGAGGACACCTGACCTTTTGAAGCTTCATAATTCACACCTCGATGTCACCGGTCTTTCCCATGTTAACAGTTCTGACTATGTTTTATTATATGTGCCTTCGGCGCCGAGCCAGGATGGCTACAAGAGGAGAAATAATGGACAGCCATAGGACTGTAGAATCAAACAGCCGGACCTCGCCTCTAAATGCAGAGGTGGTCCAGTATGCCAAAGAGGTAGTAGGTTTCAGCTCCCATTACGGGAGTGAGAATAGCATGTCTTATACCATGTGGAACTTGGCAGGAGTCCCGAATGTATTTCCAAGTTCTGGTGACTTTACACAGACAGCTGTGTTTCGAACTTACGGAACATGGTGGGATCAGTGTCCCAGCGCACCTGTGCCGTTCAAGAGGACACCAGAAAATTTCCAGAGCCAGGACTATGTGGAACTTGCTTTTGAACAGCAGGTGTATCCTACAGCTGTTCACGTTCTGGAAACCTATCATCCTGGAGCAGTCATTAGAATTCTAGCTTGTTCTGCAAATCCCTATTCCCCAGGTCCACTGGCTGAAGTCAGGTAAGACTCATTTTTTTTAATGACCACATTTTACTGCTGAAAGATGGTGGTGGTTTCATTGAAAGTGTTCTCTTAGGTAATTTAAACAAATTCAGTTTTTAAAATTTTCCTTTACTTTTCTGATAGGGAAAGAAGGATCAGATAAATTTAATGCATGCTTTATACCTATAATACCTCACCCCATAATAGTCATGGATTGTGAGATTTGTGTGTGAGTTTGCTATAAATGAAAAGCATGATTTGAACTAACTGGAACATGAGCCAATCTGAGAAGTTAGTTGGAAGTATGATTTCTAACATATTTTCAAACAGGCATCATGTTATTGATTTTAAACACTTTGGTTAACTCAAAGTCAGCCTACAGAGTAATACTTTAGAGGAGGTCCTTAGGGAATTAGCTTTAATATTAAATGGATGTTTTTGTAACAAGTATATTCATTTAAAAATAAATGCTGCCTTAAGTGTTTATGCATTCTCCCTAAAAACCTATTTATTTACATCATTGATTTGCATCATGGCGCCTCTCTCTTCCTCTCTTGTTTCTGTAGTTCAACCTCCTGGTTTTTTAGAATCTAATTATTTGACTAGGTAATTATATTCAGTAATCTAGAAAGTACATAATGCATTCTTATACCCTGTTCTCCATGTGCCTAGGATCCACCCTGCACTCAAAGAAACCACTGTTATCCACTTCCTTTGCATTGTTCCAGAGTTTTGTTATGCAGATATAAAAAAATACAAATATATTCATTTTACTTTTCTTTATACACAAAAATAAGCACACCGTTTACATTGTTCTATACCTTATTTGTTTCACTTAGGGTGTATATTGGATCTTTTCATATAAATGCAAAGAGAGTTTCCTTATTCTTGTCTACAGTTGCAAGTCATGTACAGTATATGTATACACCAACTTATTAACCACTCCCCTATTGATGGCTTCTTAGTTGTTCCCATACTTCGTTATTGTTAGTGTTAACGCAATGAATAACCTTGCCATTGAGTCACTTTGCGTGTGTACAAGCATGCATGTGGGTAACTTGTGAGAAATTTTGCTGGGCCAAGGGTCTGTGTATTTGTAGTGTTAACACATGCCAGATTTCCCTTCAAGGAGGCTCTACCTATTTATATTCCCACCAGCAGTGAACGTGCATGTGTGTTTTACTAAAGCCTCACCTGTAGAATGTTTTAAGAAATTTTAGCATTTTTGTTAATTTGGTAGGTGAAAAATGTTATCTCACGTTAACTTTAAGTAAAAATTCTTTCATCATTTCTGGGGTTGAATGTTTTCTTGTGTTTAAGAGCCATTTATATTTCCTTCTCCTTGAACTGTCTATCATGTTATTAATAGTTGTCCATTTTCTATTACTTGTTGAGCTTACCAGTTTTAAATCTCTGTTGCTTCATTTATTCATTCATTAAATATTTGAGTGTCTACCATGTACTAAGCATTGTTCTCTGTGTTGAGGTACGTTAATAAACAATGAACAAAATAGACAAAAATCTCTGCCCTTATGAGCTTATTCTAGGCCAAGAGCAGTTTGTGGGTCCCTGTTAAACTGTAGCTCATCTGCCCATGGAGAAGGAGGGGCACAGATCTGGTGTGGCCTCACACACTCCTCCCTTTGGGTTGAGAAGAGGTCCTTGTCTCCTCAGCTCCAAGGATCACCTCCCAGGCTACCAGGAAGCAAATGCAGAATACAGCTCAGCTCAAACTGGACACTGCTGGTGTAATCTTTATTCATTCTTATAAGAACAAGTTTGATAATTCACTTTGTCAAAAATATTATTAATGAATCAGTTTTTTAAAACACAGAAAACCAGTATCCTTTATTATATAGACTTTTTTCTATTTTCTGAAAGGGGATGCTTTAAATTTCTTTGGATAGGATGCTTGCTTATGTGAAAACTGTTTTGTTGGACTCTTGTCATTCTCTGCCTCTTTCCTACAAAGCTATCTACTTTTTCCCTAAAAAGATGAATCAGTATCTGGATAAGATATAAAACCTAATTTCTCCATAACTGATTGTGACTATAAATCATGCTCTTGGGTTCCTAGCTGAGAGTTATAGTGTGTGATTGTGATGAAAATGACAACTTTATATTTACAGATGTAAGTAAACTTTGCTTAACTGATTTTTAGCCTTATTCCACAGAAAACACCATTAGCTTTTGAGGAAAAGAATCTAACTAATATATATTACTGCAGGATAAAAAATGGCCTAAAATTTTTAGTGATTATGAAATCAGTTTCGTTGTTTAAAAAACTTGTTAGAAAATACCCCACAATTTATATAAAGAACCCCACAATTCTTCTGCTCAGATTTAGTAAGCGTTAGCACTTTGGTGAATCTTTAGGCAGTCAGAAACATTGATTGAACACCTTCTCTGCCCACTCACCGCTGGGAATAAAACAGAGGGCTGGACCAATGCGGATCTTGTTCTTTGAGATTTACAGGCCAGCCTGGAAGAGGGCTGGGGAATTGCCGGGTGCATGTGCTGACAGAGGGAAGCCTGTGGGGCTCAGGGAAGTCCCCCCAGAGAAAGTGACTTACTTGGGACTGAGGGTTGAGTCAGGCTTTATTTGGTAGGAAAGGTGAAGTGAGAGCAGCACGTACAAAAGTGGAATCATGCAGTGAAAGCCTGGTGTTCCAAGAAGTGAGACAAGTCCCAGAGTGGAGAGAACAAGCCTGTCAAGGGGCCACAAGCTCTGGGAACTCGTGGCGCTCTTGGAGCCAGTTTCCCAGAAGCAGCCTTGAGAAGACTGTTCCCCTGCTGAGCATTTGTTAGGAAAGCGCTCTGGAGAAACCAGTGAGGGAGCAGGGACAGTGGTGTAAGGAAGGGAAGAAGGCAAGGATGCAGTGTCCTGTGAAGTCCCAGGCAGCCTGGAGGCTCAGTTGCCAGGGGGCTGGACTTGGACACCCCCGCTGGTCTGTCTCGGTCTGTGAGCGAGGGGAGTGGGAGGTGGGTGGAAGTCTTCCAGAGGCCTGCCACGCTCTGATGAAGAGGCTCTGGGGGCCCATGTAGTTCTCTGTAGAAGGCTGCAATTGGGAGCCCTAAGGAGCAAGGCTGCAGATCTGGGGCATGAGCACGGAACTACCAGGAGATAAGCTGAGCATAGATAGAGAAAGTCAGCTCTAATACCCTGGTAGACATAATGTACTGATAATAAAAGAGAACTGGTACAGAGCTGGCAGATTATTTACTTTGCTACCAATGTCATTTTCATCACTGTCATTTCATAAAAGAAGCCCCAGTTTATACTGAGAAATTAGCATGCTCAGAATCGCAAATAAAGAGCAATTGGCAACTTTACATGTGCATGTGTGCATGTATGTGTCTGCTCAGCCTCTCAGTCATGTCTGACTCTGACTCTTTGTGGCCCTGTGGACTGTAGCCCACTAGGCTCCTCTGTCCATGGGATTTTCCTGGCAGGATTACTGGAGCAGGTTGCCATTTCCTTCTCCAAGGGATCTTCATGACCCAGGGATCAAACCTGAGTCTTCTGCATTGCAGGTGGGTTCTTTACCCTTGAGCCACCTGGGAAACCCTTATTTCCACCTTAGGGCTTAGCAAGTAAGAGAGTGTGTTGATAGTTCAAGAATTTGTTAATGGCAAAGGAATGCTCCCAGAAAATTGAAAAGCAATCTTTCCCCATTTGGTCTGATTACATTTCTTATGTTTGGTGAGTGAAGTGGGAAAGTTACAAGTAGTCCTGTAAGATCTCAAAGTCTTTTGACTTCATGCCTAGTGTTATACTAAGAGAACAGAAAATCGTATAGAGTGTCCTGGTCCTGAGGATAAGATCTTAATAGATGCTTCTGTAAGAGTCAGGAAAAAGGCAAGTGCAGGGTTACATGCTGGAAGAGAGAGAGACAGGGAAAAGAGAAGAGAAATTGAGGTCATATTAAATAAACTGGAATAAAGCTATTAGGGGTTAAAATTTAGTGGTACTCTTGAGTGTTGAAAGCATTTTCATTGTATAATATAGAAGTTAGGAAAGCAGGGAGAAAGAAAATGGCTGTCACAGGATTTGCTGCCGAAGGAAGTTGCTTAAGCAGCGATTTCATGAATTGGTCATGATCTGGTCCCCTTGACTTTGTGAGGCATGATTTTGTCATTTAAGTCAGAAATAATCAGACCCTTTACTGGTTCTTTTTAAAGCAGATGCCAGTTTGTTAGTGCTTATTAGTGGCGGGCTGAGAAACACAGAGTGAGTTCAGTATACCTCTTAGAATACTTTAATTTTATTCTTGTTTTCCGATTCTCTCCCTTCACTTTCAGCTGGTGAAACGGAACTGTGTTGGCAAGAGATCTTTCTTTGTGCTGGCTACTAGATGTGCTTAGTAACCAGGAAAAATTTTGGTTACAGGGAAGTAATTTGCATCCGTGTGCTTGGCTTGCAACCTGAATGTTAGGAAACTTGCTTTCTCCAGTTTCTGTTGATAAATATCTCTCTTCCTCTCTTGTCCACCTGCTGCTTCCTGGGAGCCCTAGAGAGACTTTCTCAGTGGTGACAGCAGGTCAGCAGTTACAGAGGCAGCGTGTCTGGTGTCCAAGCCCTGGACACATAGTCAGAGAGAGAAGGAGAGGAGGAGAAAGACGTGGACTGGTGAAGAGAATGCTGACACCACCCCGGAATTAAGTGCTTCAAGTGCAGAGAAAGCACAGTCTGATGCGGATTCCACACTAAGTTCTGTACATGCAACTGTAGATTTAAAATAATTGTTTGTCAGATTTGTCCAGTAGAGAAATATACTGTATGCGCAGATAAAGTTAGCATATAAATGTGCAGACTACAGGAGCCATGACTTAGAGCAGTTTAATCTCATCAGCGCAGCTCTGGGTCTAGAGGATTAAGAGAGTCAGGGCTGTCTCATGGAAAATTATGTGTAAGTGTGTATGTTTGTGTGTATTATGTGTACACAGGCATGCACATGTGCATTTATTTGTATTTGCTTACTTGCTTTCACTCACTAGTTTTTAAAGGTCAGTCTTTAGTTTTCTAAACAGAAAGATTTTGACTTAGGAAATACAACCAATATTTTAGAATAGTCATTATTCTGTAATATAGTAACATTTTATAACCTATGAAAATACTGAATCATTGTGTTGTATACTTGAAACTAATGTTATAAATCAACTGCATGATAATTTAAAAAAAGATATTGATATATTCTCTTGTTGGGTAGATATCTAACTTTAAAATAATATAGTTCTGTTAGAATTTTAAACAAAAAATCACGTTAGTGCAGATAGCCCTAAATCAATTGTATTGGTCTCATAGTTAATGTTAATTTAAATGGCCACAGACCTATAAAATAATTTTTCATCTTTTTAGCACTTTTCTTAGTTACTTTTTAGGTTATCAAGAAAAATCAAAATAAAATATAAATAATGATACCTGAATTTTTTTATGTTTAGACATTTAAAAATATTTCTAAACACTGATGATATTATTCTACTTTAATAAGAATGCTATCATATTTAAACTTATGATTTATGTATAACTATATACTGTTTATACTATCTAAAGTCAGAAGCAAAAGTGATATTAAAATAGCATTAACTCTTATATATTTAAACATGGTAGAAATGTTAAGGAAGTCGTTTTAAAGCATCATCTTAACCTTGTCCATTTTGCGAAGTAGAGGGTGGGGGGGGAGACTTTAGTAGATTAATACATTATTTCCATAGAATATTTCTGCTCTAATCAATGCTTGTTTTCAAGCTTATATTTGTAATTTTATAATGTAATTTGCATTATAATACAGGTCCAGCTCTGCATAAAGAACATGTTTTGTCTGTGTCCTTATTTATTGCGAAGGACCTGGCGGAGGTGATTTCTGTATTACATTTTCAGTGTTTCTGTTAAGCTTCATAGAAACTTCTCATTGAAGCCAAACAGTAAAATAGGCTGGTTTTGTCCACTGTGCTGTGAACCAGCGCAGGCAGTTATTTCGCAGGGTCCTAAGTGGCCCTTGCTTCTTGGACACGAGAAAAACCTCCAACATCACTTCATGTCATTTTCCAGCAGCAACAAAAGGAAGAGCAGAACCAAAGTCTGAGTTTTCTCATACCTCCGCCATGTACCCCAGGATTCTTGGAAACAATCTGTCCAAAGTTAGGAATGCATTTCCCTATGAACACGGTTTTAAATGTTTCATACTTCTGTTCCTCTATGGCTAGCTCTGTTGAACTGCCTGGATCTTCAGTAGAGTGTTCGGATCAATACCATTGTTAGAAACCCTCAAGATTTTTGCATTTAGACTTTAGGAACACTTCTTAGTCTGGGCTGGCATTTCAAATTTGCTCTTCTGCCTTGTCACAGAAAGTGGGACTGCTCATCCTGCTTTCGTTTCCTCCTTGAATCTGCCACAACCTGCTGTGTTCCTTGAACTCTTCCCCTGCCTCCCAAGGCTGATTATACAGCGGGGCCAGTCTCTGTTCCTACTTTCAGGTTGTCTAAATACAAATACTCAGAGTCTCTTTATATGTTTGATGGGTTTTATTCCTAGTATTCAGGAGAGAAGTAGCAAATCTCACAAATATGGGGTGATTATAACGGTCTGTTAACTGTAAAATTTCCTACTGTTATTGTCAGTGATATGTTTACTGGAATCCCCATTGAGATTCTGCCTTATGCTTTTATTCCTCAAGGTAGAAATTACCAAAATTCCCTTCTCCTGAAATTGGTGCTCTATGCCTGTGTTGTTCCCATCTTGGCCTAAAGACCATTATGGTACTTGTATGTCACTGACTTCTGTAGTCTTGGCTCTGAGTTTCACACTCTTTTGTATATTTCAGTTTTCTAAATGCTTTGCTGTAGTCAGTTTTTACATAGGTATCAATAAGTCACTGGGGCAAGGAAATGAACTGACAATATACTGGAAGGAAGAAAATTTGATAGGATTAATAAGAATATGAAAACATTTTAAGTGTTATTAATAGTGAATTATAAATTATGTCACAGAGATATGGGCCGCTATGAATTTAGAGATTATTTTTTTAAAACAGAGAATACTGGAAACTCCCTGGTGGTCATGGTTAAGACTCCAGGCTCCCAAGGAAGGGCGCCTGGGTTCAATCCCTGGTCAGGGAATTAGATCCCACATACCACAACCAAAGATCCTGAATGCTGTAACTGAGATCTGGCACAGCCAAATAAACAAATATATACATAAAAATAGAGGATGCTTTCAGTGGTTATTCTTATATACTGTTGGCTTAAGCTTCTTTGAAATAGTTTGCAGTATTTATTGGGAGACTTAAAAGTGTACTTAGACCTTGACATAAAATCTTTATTTAAAAATTCTGCCAGCTAAAGTAAATCTAAACAGCAAAAGAAAAAAAAAACAGCAAAAGAAGTATTTATTGAAGTATTTTTGTCTGTGTTTTTAATTTTCTCTGATATATTAGAAAAAAGTATTAGAAAAATGGTTATTTATGCCATATATATGAGAGTATATATATTTTAATGATGCTATGTTATGAAGAATCTTTAAATAATTTTGGAAAATAATTTTATAAGAATATCTATGTAAAGACATGGAATATGAGTTAGTCCTTGAAGAAAAGATGGGCTGATGATTATAATTTAGGCATTGCATTGAGTGGAGAGGCAACATGAGTAAATACCTTTCTGTGAAAATAAATTTATTATCTGGAAAGTATGATTAACCCGGCTGAATAGTGGAAGTTCATTTTGAAGAAATAGGAGAAAATGTTACTTACCTGTTAACATATTAGCTAATTGCTGGGTATGGAGGATATAAGGATGACTCAAAGATGACAATAATGAAAATTTAGGAGAAGGGCATATATGAGACAGTTTCATGAAAACTTTGATAAAACTTAACGACTGGGTAAAAGAAAATCAAGGATAATGAAAGATTTGAATTTGTGCAATGCCAGTAACAGAAATGGGAAAGGAGACCTTTATGAGGCAAGGTGGTCAGTTTAGTTTCCACAGTTGGTTTTGGGCGCACACACAGGAGTGCTTGCTTTCTTTTTTTAAAAGTTAGTTAGTTTATTTATGGACGCAGGGGGTCTTCATGCTCCACAGGCTGTCTCTAGTTGTGGCAGGTGGGGGCTTCTCTTTGTTGCAGTGCTCGGGTTTCTCACGGCGCTGCCTTCTCTTGCTGCGGTCACAGGCTCTAGGCGTGTGGGCTAGGTAGTTGCAGCTCATGGGCTTAGTTGATTCATGGCATGTGGGATCTTCCCAGACCAGGGACTGAACCCGTGTCCCCTGCATTGGCAGGCAGAATCTTACCCACTGCGCTATCAGGGGAGTCCAGGAGTGCTTTCTTTCATGTGCTTTCATACTTGGAGTTTACTTTTTCTATAAAACTGAATGTTGTTTATGTACCTCTGACTAGTGATTCCAGTTTTTAACTAACTGTGAAATCTGCCTAAACTGACTTTCTAAGGAGTTGTAAAAATAATTTAAGTAGTAAAAATGTTTTCCATAATAAGGTCTATGGCATTTAGATTTAAAAATTTTTTCATGTCCTGGAAATAATTATTGTTTCCATTGTATCTATCTGCTTTGTTTAATGGTTTTGCTTCACACTGGAACATACTGGCCATGGGCCCCTAACTTTACAGTAACAGAAAATGTCATTCTAAACTGTATTATAGAGAAATTTCTTTCTTTGGCAGATGGGAAACTCTTTGGTCAGAGAAACCTACGAAGGTGAATGCTTCCCAAGCTCGCCAGTTTAAACCTTGTATTAAGCAGATAAATTTTCCTACAAATCTTATACGCCTGGAAATAAATAGTTCTCTTCTGGATTACTACACTGAATTAGATGCAGTTGTACTACATGGTACGAAGGACAAGCCCATGCTTTCTCTCAAGCCTTCACTTATTGACATGAACGATCTGGAAGAAGATGACTATGAAGAAAAGGATGAATGTGAAATGGACAATCTGAGCAAAACGTTTAGCAGTACTGCTCTCAGGGAAGGGCCAAGTAATGGATATTTTGATAAACTACCCTATGAGGTAAGCCAAAGATATTCAGTAGCAATATTGGAGATACAATCATTTAAAAATATTTAGATATAAATGTTTATTTTGCTGAAAGAGAAATCGGAGCATTAGCAAAGTATACATAATCTGATGTATTGTGTGTTTTGACTTTGGAAAAACTAGACAAAATTGTGTTCAGTAACTTCACCATTTTTGTTTTGGATTGACTTTAGTGATTCTGGACAAATTCTTCAGTTCAGTTCAGTCACTCAGTTGTGTCCGACTCTTTGCGACGCCATGAATCGCAGCACACCAGGCCTCCCTGTCCATCACCAACTCCCAGAGTTTACTCAAACTCAGGTCCATCGAGTCGGTGATGCCATCCAGCCATCTCATCCTCTGTCATCCCCTTCTCCTCCTGCCAAATTCTTAGATATATGTTATTTTATCACTGATTAATAGTAACCAAAATACATAAAGCAGTAATAAATTACACTCCACTTTAATTCACAGTTACACAGCGTAAGCATGGGCTATATGTGTTTAATGTGATACCAGTTATTTTAAAGATGATTTGTTGTGAAAATAGTGTTAATACGGTTGTGAGAGGAATCCTTATTCTGGTTAATAGTGCACAGTTTCTCCAGGTGTGACTTACTCTTCTCTACTAATTCTATTCTGTATTCTTCTAACTAGCTATAATTTTTGGTCTAGGCAGGTACAGGGAGGCTTTCTCTAAAGTCTTATTTTCCATGTGTCTCCACAGGATTGTTTCTAGGGTATATTGAGCACTCCTGGCTCCCAGGCATCCAATGCCATTAGCACATCTCCTGGAATGGGGGTGGGGCCAAGCTTTTCTGTCCCCTGCTGAGAAGAGCTGTGTGTGGTTTAAAATATTAATAATAGAATCGGATCTTTTAAAGAAAATATTCTAAACTCAAACTACTGTGGAGAGGGCTATCATGTGGATGAAATCCCTGAGGATGTTCATACTCTGAGGGTGTGAATAAAGGGTCAAGAACAGAATTCTAGAATTAGTAGTATCTAAGAGTCAAATACAGGCAGACGAGTCAGAAAAGGCACTTGGGACAAAGATGAGAGTGTCTTAAAAGCAGCGATAGGAAGCTGAAGAGGTATAGGGAGCATAAAATGGGTGTGGTCAGCCACCCTACTGCAGAGAGCTCAGTGACAGCGGCCCCTGCTTTTGCTCATCAGGAGAGCTTTGCTAATCCTTTACCGTTATCACTCAATGGAGCTATGACCACAGGGAGAGATGGGGAAAACTACCATATCTGGTTAAGGCATCAAGGAACGGGGAAGAAGCAGAGACAAAAAGTATTTGCTGTCTGAGCATAAGCAGAAAAAAACCTTCTGTTAATATACTCTAATTATGGGCTATAACCTGGATAGGACTGTTCACCAATAATGAATAATACTTGGCATCCTGACTAACACTCCAGTCCTTCATGTCATATTCAGAGAAGGGCATATCAAAATGAGGGAGAGTATGACATTTTTATAGATATTATTTGCTCTGATTTATCATTTAAAAGGAGAAAAGATGGGTGGCAGAAGATGCAACAGAGTAGGAAGGTTGCTGTTTGTAACAGGTTGGGAGAGATTTCAGCATGTTTTTATGCTGTAGGGAAGGAGACTGTAGAGAGTTAAAGCTTCCAGTACATGCAGGGGGTTTAGTCAATACAACAAAGGCACGTGGAAGAACTGGGAGATAGAATCAGTAGTCTTGAAGGACATTAAATAGCCGTGATGAAAGCAGTGCAATGTATAGAGAGTTAATGCTCCAGAACACCAAGTGATTTCACAGTGAGTAAAAGGAGAAACTGTTTTTTAAAGTTACCCAAATTATAGGTACTTCAAGTCACTTTAAGGGGGAAAAAAAAACCCCACATTTAAATAAATATGCCAAGTGATATCATCTTTCTGTAGTTGAAAATAATTGTATTATGAGTAGAATGAATTTTGAGGGCAGATCATTTTGAGAGTCCTTTCCTGCATTGTATGGTGTCAAATGGTACTTTAAGCTAGGATGTTTTTGTTATTTAGTCGCTAAGTCGTGTCTGACTCTTTTGTGACCCCATGGACTATAGTCCGCCAGGCTCCTCTGTCCATGGGATTCCTAGGCAAGAATACTGAAGTGGGTTTCCATTTCCTTCTCGAGGAGATCCTCCTGACCCAAGGATTGAACCCATGTCTCCTGCATTGGCAGATGGATTCTTTACCACTGAGTCACCTGGAAAGTCTCTTAGGCTAGGATACCCCCATATAAAAACATGTTTGACAGACACTAGCTACTAGATGAGTAATGATTAACAGGTATTGTGGGCCTAAAGCTTGTTATTTTTCACTGAATCAGAATCCAAAGTGCTTTTTCACTTGCCACTGTCATGGTCTCAATAATTTCATTATTCTTTTTCTATTTTGATATTTGCTTAAAATATAACATTAGGGGGCTTCCCTGGTGTCTCAGATGGTAAAGAATCTACCTGCAATGTGGGAATCCCAGGTTTAATCCCTGGGTTGATAAGATCCCTTAGAGAAGGGAATGGCTACTCACTCCAGTATTGTTGCCTGGAGAATATTAGAGATCATGAAATGTTTTCACACAGTATACATCTTTTAATATTGGTGACTTTTGTTTGGAATGATGCCAGCAATTGCTGGGAGTTATTTAAATTACAAATCATCTGGAAAAAAATAAATTATTTATCCTCTGGTACAGGGATATATTTAACTTTTAATGCTTCTTTGTACTAACTACTTTAAAATTTTACTGAAATAGCTTTTAATATTGTAGTTAAAACAACAAATATTTAAGGTCCTACTGTTGCCAAGCCTGGATGGATCACAGGTTCCTTCAGACATTTAAGAAGTGATCACATTCTGTTATTTAAACTCTTTCATAGAATAAAGAAAAAGGAAAGTTTTTAACTTCTTAATGAAGCTGATATAACACTATAGCACATAAAAATAAACTTACAGACTAATTTTCCTTCTGCATCAAAATGTAGTGAATGGAATTACTTAAAAATAAAAAAATCATTCAGGATGTATTTCTGGAATTAAGGGTATTTAAGTATTAGGTATGGCAGAAAGTGAAGATGAACTAAAAAGCCTCTTGATGAAAGTGAAAGAAGAGAGTGAAAAAGTTGGCTTAAAGCTCAACATTCAGAAAACTAAGATCATGGCATCTGGTCCCATCACTTCATGGGAAATACATGGGGAAACAGTGGAAACAGTGTCAGACTTTAATTTTGGGGGCTCCAAAATCACTGCAGATGATGACTGCAGCCATGAAATTAAAAGACGCTTACTCCTTGGAAGGAAAGTTATGACCAACCTAGACAGCATATTAAAAAGCAGAGACATTACTTTGCCAACAAAGGTCCATCTGTTCAAGGCTATGGTTTTTCCAGTGGTCATACATGGATATGAGAGTTGGACTGTGAAGAAAGCTGAGCACCGAAAAATTGATGCTTTTGAACTGTGGTGTTGGAGAAGACTCTTGAGAGTCCCTTGGACTGCAAGGAGATCCAACCAGTCCATCCTAAAGGAGATCAGTCCTGGGTGTTCATTGGAGGGATTGATGCTGAAGCTGAAACTCCAGTACTTTGGCCACCTCATGCGAAGAGTTGACTCATTGGAAAAGACCCTGATGCTGGGAGGGATTGGGGGCAGGAGGAGAAGGGGATGACAGAGGATGAGATGGCTGGATGGCATCACCAACTCGATGGACATGGGTTTGGGTGGACTCCGGGGGTTGGTGATGGACAGGGAGGCCTGGCATGCTTCGGTTCATGGGGTCGCAGAGTCGGACATGACTGAGCAACTGAACTGAATTGAACTGAACTGAAGTATTAGATAATATATATGATAACATGCAGTACTATAAAATGGTAACATAGTCAAAGGAGAGAATTCTATGGTCACCTCAGTAGATGTGCAAAATCAGTTGACAAATGGCAACTGGATAGAAATCCAAATTTTTATCAATGTCAGCTTAAAAGTAAATATCTTATTAAGCCAGCCATGAATTGTCTACTACCAAGTGTTAGTAACCAAGAGCTAACATCATATTTAATTATCAAACACTAGAAATGTTCAGTATGGTAGTCACTAGCCATATGTACTATTGAGTACTTTATGTCTAATCTGAAGTGAGATAAGCTGAAAATATACACATAATATTTCAAAGACTTAATATGACAAAAAAAAGGTTTAGTTTCTCAGTAATAATTTTTATGTTGAGCACATGTTGAGATGATCATTTTAATATCCCTCATCAAATAAAATACATTAAAATTAATATCACCTATTTTTGAATTTATTTTTTAATTTCATTGAGGAATAATCGACAAATATAATTATTTGTATTTAAAGTGTACAACATGACTTGATATACATTGTATAGTGATTACCAAGATCAAGATAACTGACACATACATCACCTCCCATTTTTAACTCTTTTGTGTGCGTGTTTGTGGTGAGAATTCTTAAGATCTACTCTAAGCAACTTTCAAGTATACAGTACTATATTATTAACTAGAGTCTTTTGACTTCTAACAACTTGTAGTTGCTAAAAAAATTTTAAATTGTATATGTGCCTCACATTTTTGACTCACATACAAATTAGAGTCAGGAACAAGACAACAATTTTACTTAACATTGTTCAGGATATACTCTCCAGTGCTGGAAGATGGGAGAAAGAAATAAGAGGTGTGATTTTTGAAAAGAAAGCTGTAAAATTATTGTCATTTGCAGACAATATGATTATGTATTAGAACACTCAGGAGAATAGACCAAAAACTATTCAAAACAATAAGTAAGTTGGCAGGTTACAAAATTAATCGATAAAAAAATCAATAGATTTAAGAACTCTAGGATCAAAAAAGATAGTTAAATGATAAATTATGCCATGCTCTTGAGTAGGAAGACACAACAAAGAGGTCAGTTTTCCTTAACAAAATCTATGTGTTCAATGAAATTCCAGGTAAAATGCAAACATAATTTGTTTATTTTTTAATATAAAAGTTCACCTAAAGCCTATGAAAATACTCAGGAAAATTTTGGAAAAGAAGAGTGATGGAGGGAGCCCTAGTCCCACCAGGGAATAAAACATACTACGAAGCCATAGTACCGATATTTGTGGGTCAACAATGAAGGTAGATTCTCATTTGCAACCAAATAATCCAGTACATTGCCACACATAAACTTGGTACCTCATCGTGGTTTTGACTTGCATTTCTCTGATAATGAGTGATGTTGAGCATCTTGTCATGCCACATGTAAACTTCTAAAAAGACAGAACAGAACTTACTTCTTTGACCCAGTGGGCTGTTGCTATGGGAGAAATAAATGGGATAGAATAGAGACCAACAGGAAAGAAGGGGACCTCGGGAACTCCCCTGGCAAGGGTCACACGTCTGTAGTTAAAAGCAAAACAAACAAAACCCCAAGACGACAGTGCCCTACTGTTTTTGTTGCTGGTTTTTTTTTTTTTTTAATTTTTTTCCTTTTCCTTCCTTTCAGGATGGCAAAATTAAAAGTATTGATACTAGTTTGGATAGGTTATGCGTGAATGGGTACTTTTATACACTGTAAATTGATGCAAACATTCTGAAGGGCAATTTTGTGTTTATAGCAAAACTTTTAAATGCATGAAATTTACCGTATGATATATTTGCAAAATTTACCAAGATATGCATACATACACACAGTGATATAGCAGTGTTATTTACAGTAGGGAACAAACCAGGAAGTACATCAATGAGAAATTAGTTGAATTAGGTTGTCACATCTACAAAGTGGCATGGGGTAGATTTGTGTGTGCAACTGTAGAAATTTCTACAAGGTACATCATTCAGTGAGAAAAGCAAGGTGAAGAACAGTGTATAAAGTATCATTCTTTTGGTACAAATCCAGGAATAGAATTTCATACATATTTATCTGGAAAAGATCAGAAAAACTGTTAGCAGTGTTTACCAAGGGGTTGAGGGATTATTAGATTTGAGGGTCGAGAGGGAAGAACTTATCATTTTTTACCTGCCTTCAGTGTTTGGATTTTATGATATTTTACCTGAATTTTCTCTTGTTATTTGTTTAATATTTTGCTTGTCGACAGTTTGCATGTCATCTGAATGGTGAGAGTTTAGACTAATTTTTAATTTCCCTGTTTTTATACACAAACACCCACACCCCTTAATGTTATTTTCAAAAGTCAAGTCCACATGTTAAAAATAAATAGCAAAAACACCCCAAGCCTTCTTATACTTAATATGTGTATTATCAATGTGCATTTTTACATGTACTCTTTAGGCTTATTTTAAATATATTGTTGTCACTCTTTGTTGTACTTTGGCCTCAAACAGAGTTATTCTGACTTGAAAATAATACTGGGCTTACATAGTTAAATAAATTGATGAAGAATATTTAGGTTAAAGGGCATAATTGCAAATCAAAAAGTGTAGCTAGATAAATGCACTGCATTAAGTGGAAAAGTCATACTCTCTCATGTAGAGGTTTCTTTTTCTACCATTTAGCAAATATTTGGTTTTTTTTTTCTTTGTGTTTCTTGGTTCAGAATAGGCTACTTAGCTATGATTCTTTGAAAATTAGTTTAGAAGCCCCCAACTGTTCACCATTAAGAAAAAACAAATCTTGAACTACTAACAGTTCAAAGAAACTATTAGAATTAGAGATAAGCATCTTTTTGTTTCCTCCTCCTTAATACACTGTTTGGGATCTGTTAGCTACCCGGTCATCATTGCCAGTTGCCTTAAGCAGGCTCCTGATTCCTCTTCCCTGGAATTCCGCAGTTGCCCCCTGGCGGGTTTCCCTTCCTGCCTCCAGGAGTGCCCGCTGCACTGGTCTCTCTGAAACACCAATCTGACTCTTGCCACTCTGCAGCTCAGATCCCTCGGAGCCTCCTCCTTGCTTTTTGTGTAAACCCAGTCTCCTCTGTGAGGCTTTCTGTGACCTGATCCTCAGCAGCACCTAGTCCTTGCTGTCCCCAGTAAAGCTGAGCCTCTGTGGTCCCAGCCTGCTTTCACTGTGGTTAAGCCTGGGTCCTGTGTCAGACTCTGGTGGCGGTCTATGCTGCTAGCAAAGTTATTAAAACCGTCATTGTCCTTAGCAGCATCCCACTGAACTCTGAAAACCCTGAAAGAGGGAGCTCTTCTATCACCAGTGATAGCTGTGTAATCGATGTTCAGTAAAGGTTAAGTCTGTGCAAAATTGTATTATTCAGTAGATTATTGCACTGTAAAAAAAAGAGTAACTAACATGAATTGAGTATACAGTGCACACCCTTGAAATGTAATATATGTAGCCTTATGTGTGTATGGGTACTACTGATGTGGATAATTCTGTTGAATATTGATTTATTTAGTATGTGAAAATACTGTTATAAAATGTAGGATACTGTTGTCCTTTATTAGATCACATCATGTGCTTCATAAAGGGATACTGTTTTTTCAGTCTGGGTGATCTTGGTTTCTCTGTTTTATGTAGCTCATTCAACTGATTCTGAATCATCTTACGCTCCCAGACCTGTGCAGATTAGCACAGACTTGCAAACTCCTGAACCAGCATTGCTGTGATCCTCTCCAGTACATCCACCTCAATCTGCAACCGTACTGGGCGAAGCTAAATGACACCTCTCTAGAATTTCTGCAGGCTCGCTGCACGCTTGTGCAGTGGCTTAATTTATCTTGGACCGGCAATAGGGGATTCATCTCTGTTGCGGGATTTAGCAGGTTAGTGCCAAACCTTGTTGAGGTTATTTCACCAGCAGACCGTACTTACTATATAGTAGTTAACATAATAAAAGTTTGAAATTGTATACCATGTACTTTATAGAAATCAAGAGAAATACATTTGTATATCTTGTTCAGAATGCTTTTGCTTACAATAGTGGATGAGTTCATTTCGCCATCCTCTTACAGCTAAGCTTCATAAGATGGAGGGGAAATAAAGTTCTTTACCTCAAATTTTTCAAAATCCAAAGTAACTTTCAACAGAGCTCTTTTTTTTTCTTTCTCATATTTTCAGCACAGATGATTAACACATTTTAAGAACTATTTCCAAATCAAAATCTACCTCTCTAATGTGATTTGTCAGAAATGGAAAACAATTTATTATAGAACATTTTTAATTAAATCTTAATTACATGTGCAATACATCACCCAAATTTAGAAGCTCATTTAAACTAATTATGTTGAAAATGCAATTGCATGTTAAATAGGCGACCACACTTGCAGACCTGCCCAGGTGTTTCTGCTCCTTTCTATTTAAGCATTTAGTTTCCTTACTATTAAATGTCACCTGTTAGACATTTGAAAGCTTGCACGCGTGCATATTCATTTAGTAACGCCATAGTCATTTTTTCTTGTGATACAAACAGGTGTTTTTCTCTTAACCTTGATGATGGTTATTCTCATTGTAAGTTACAGTATAATCCGTTTCATTAAGTTAAATAATGAAGAAATAGACACTTCAGGGAAATTACCTGTTATTTTTGAGTAACGAATAATCGCCTATTGTGTTTTTAGAAGTTAGAATGAACTACAGCTTTCCCCACACACATCCCCAGTGGATGCACTCCTACACAGTGGCTTATGAATTAGAAATTTGTATTTTGAGCTTTGTTTCCCCTTGACTTAGAGTATAAAATTAAAGATGCAGTTCCAGAAATAAATATTTGATACCCTTAGATTCAGATGAAATCATGTTTGAAATGGCACCAATGTGTTCAAAATGCTAATATTAATAGTTTGTGCATCAAAATAAAAAATGAACACAAGCAGTAATGGCTTACAGCACATGTTGAAACCATGGACGCACTGGGTTTCTTCCTTTTCTGCCAGAAACAGAACCAGAGGAAGGGGTTCTTAGATAAAGTGTTCTGGGATTTGAGGGTCAGAATCTAAAGATTTTGTAACATGCTATGTATACAAAATTCTTTTTTATTATGTAAACTTGCTTAAGAGGGGAGATATATATATATATGTATATATATAAAATAGTAGGTATTATATATATGTAAGAAAATGAGTTGTTTCTTTTTGGCAGTGTAATTTTGGTGAATTTTGATAGAATCCACATTTTGAAAATTGTTGGCTCCATTGGAACACAGCTTAGTCCTTTCTGCTTCCCTTTCTGCAAACACATGCTTCATTAGCAAATTGTCCTCACTGCTAATGGGACCAAGAAGAACTGAAGCTAATGATTACTGTGGGTATTCAGAGAGTGCACTATGGATCATTAACCAAGAGCAGATAGAACCATTGGTATAAGTAAGCGTTGTTTTACATTATAAGGACTTTGGGGTATTTTAATTCCCCTCATAGCTCTTTCTTCAGTGTTTCCCACTATTTGGGACTTACGTGTTTGTTTTTGCTGTTGGTGTGTAGTGTGTAAGGCATTACGGTGAGTATTGTGGACCACGTGAAGAGATAGATGATATAGTTCCTACTACAAAAAAGATACAGATATAAAGATAAACATTGAAACATATCATTCCCATATTTTTGTAAATAAAATAACAGGAAGGCAGCTAATGAGTAAAAACATTAAAGAAAACATTGGTAATGAATGACCAAGTCCAACTTCCTAGGCAAAATGTGGCATATACCCATAGTATAATGAGTAAAATATAAAGATAATATTAAGTCAGTTTTTAGAAACTCTTTTTGTAGCTTCTTCTGGTGCATGAGCAGAAATATAAGTTGTTAGAAGAAGACTTCACAATGCTATTTTAAGAATTTCAGACGTGCAGTGGATAAAGGTCTTCTTTTACAAGGTTAAAGCTTCAATCTGCTTTCTCACCAGCAGTCTCTCTTCCATTTTCTATTCGCCCATTTAGTTGCCGTGGAGCTGTTTGAATACTCACAAAAGTACATACATAAATGTAAGTTTTCCATATTTCACAGGAGTGTTTCAGCCAGTAAATCCATGTATCTTCATAGAACTCCTTTAAGCATAGTCATTGTTCCCATTAAGAAAAGAAAAAGTTGAAATAACAGGGAGAGAGAGTCTTTTTGGGGATGGGAGATACTGGAGCTTTGCCTACTGATTACTGTTGGCCCCCTTGATGTAACTGCTGAATTGATAGTCATTATGGCTTGTAGGCAGCATTCCCAGAATAAAGAATAAATATTCATGGCTTGATTATTAATGAATAATCTATGAATAAGTGTGGTCTATTTATGCTCATTACTGTGAAGAAGGCTTATTTATAATACTTTAAAGGGAAAAAAAAAGTACATTTTTGAACTAGAAACCAATGATGATGAGTTGCCTTTTGAGCAAGTCTTTGGGAAAAGTTTGATATAGTTAATTTTTGTTGCCTGGAAACGTTATCCTCACAAACTGGAACTGTTTCACTGCACTTTAAAGAAGTTAGGAATTTATTTTATTCAAAATAGCAGGGGAGGTGGAATAATAAGAACTTAAAACTTTTAATAAGTTATTAAAATCCTATTCTATCTACAGATTTGTGATTTGTAACTTCACATCCTGCTCATGTATATCACTATTCATTAAAATCACATCTATTATAATTGCACTTTCCTCTTACAATGCACTCCCTAAAGTCTTGGATATTCCTTTGCCACTCCGTTTGTTTGTGCTCTGAGGCTTAATTATACCATTTTGATGTTCAAAAAGCCTTAGATTCATTTTTTTCTGCTATAGTTTTTCTTCAGATAGCTGCTCAAACTAATCACCTTGAGCTCCACCTCAGTTATGTAGAGATTTCTAGCCCTAGCACATCTACTTGTTTCCTTCAGAAAACACTATTGGATGCTTTTTAGGTTTAAGGACTTGATGTTTTGACCCAAAGTTACAGTTTTATGGAATAGAGAGCTTTTTGAGTATTCATATATTTGTTTATTCAGTTGCCTGCCAATGTCTTACAGTGTTGTGTCTTTTAGATGGTCAACTCCTAGAGATTAAAGACAATTTACGACAGTTTCTTTTCATGTTGTTCTACCATTGCTGGATGGTGCTGTACACAGTTAAGCAAGAAGTTTTGTTTTTAATAACTTTATTTTGGATCTGATATAGTAAATAATTCTCCAGCTATTTGGAATTAAAAATATCTTAAATATACTGTTTTATAAAACTCAGTGAGGGCCAGCTACAAAACATGAGATTAGGATTCAGAGCCATGGATATTTATACCTAATTCTCCTCTTTACCTTGAAACTTAAGGCAGGTTGTGAGGATTGGTGCCTTTTATTTTGTGATGAGTAAACTCAGATTAAGTCATTCATTCACGTAATGTTAATTATTTTAGTGTGCAAATTACCATTTCGTAAATTACTTCTTATGTACCTGTATTACTCTGGACAAATTAATTCACCTTATAAGGACAGGCAGTTTTTTTCTCTCTCCAGAGACTCCTTTTCTCATAGCAGGAGACCTAGTTTGGGATTGTTTGTCTGAACTTAGGTTTTCTCTTAATAGCCTCAATATCAAGAAATACTTGATGGGAATTCATAAGATGGAATGAACAGGCTTCAGGAAATAAACAAGCTATAGTTCTCTTTTCAGGTGACTAGTACTACAATTGAGATGAATAAACAGATGACTAAGATCTGTAATTATGTGTTAAAATAAAACTTTATGAGGAACATTAAGGAAGGAAATGAGTTGTGTTCAGCTAATTAATTGATTCTGCTATTTCTGCCTTCTTGTAGTGGAAATATTATGAAAAAGCCGGTGGTGTAGATCTCATAAGTTTAGGAAGAGTTGACTATGGGGATATTGACTAAATAACCTACTCAGTAAAAATATAGGATATAAAAAAAGGGGGAGAGTCTTAAAGGTAGTATATGCATGATCATTGTCATTACTGTGCTTCCAAGTTCTATCATTCATTAAATCAATTTGGGAAGTTTTCTAGTCTATTAACAGCTTGCTGATGATTGGCTTGCTATCTTTAGAAGGGAAAAGTTCATTAATGAGAGAAAAGAGAAAAGGGGTGTCAAAGCATTCCAAGTCTAATACTAAAAAGAATTATAGAACAAAGCACTTTGCCAAATAATGAAGACCTTCAATAGATAAGATGCCTAAAGATTTTAAGAGTTAATATACTCATTTAACTTTTGTAATCTGCAGATAATTTTAGAAGCATCAAATCAAAATAGGATACTATAGATCTCTGGTGCCATACATTCATTTCTAGATTGCTAGCTTATAAATGATGATGAACTAGCCATAACTACAGTGTATATTCAAAGTAAGGTAAAAATGTTCATTTTGTTGTATTTCCTAGTTTGATCCTCTTAAAGGAAATATGCTGAGTCCATAGAACTTAGTCTGTTCCAGAGTAGAGGAAATTTAAATTCCTCAAATGCATTTTCATAATTGAAAGAGTTATTCAGCAAATTCATCAAGTGTTTTTACACCCCTGACATCATGCTCAGTACTAAGTATACAAAGGATAGACTCAGTATAAACAAATCAGTAAATAAGGAAATTATGGTTAACAGAAAAATGAATTTTGGTTGAGAAACAGAGGAGCTGAACTCATTCAGTTCAGTATGCAGAAGATACGTTGTTAATTCAGTACCCATTGCTTCCCTTTGAAATAGATCCCCAGTCTGAATATGGAGCCCCCCACAGTCAAGGCCACCCCCCCATTCAGCGCACCATGCCCTCTTCCCTGAATGGGCTATGGTGTCCTGATGATCTCCTGGTTTTCACCCCTGTTCCCCTTCAGTTTATTCTCCACACAGAAGCCAGAGTGATCCTGTTAAAACACAAGCAAGTGGTACCACACCTCTGCTCAAAAACCTCTGATGTCTGAGAGTCCCGTCTCCCTCAAAACAAAACCAGTCTTTATAGGATGCACGCTCTGGCCTGCCCCTTACCGCTCTGACCTGCTCCCATCTGCCTCTCGCTCTGTGCCTGCTTGCGGTTCCGACTCCAGGCTGTGTTTGAGGTGTCCTGCCTCTGAGCGGCCACCCTGGCGGCTGCCTGCTTGCGGTTCCGACTCCAGGCCGTGTTTGAGGTGTCCTGCCTCTGAGCGGCCACCCTGGCGGCTGCCTACTTGCCGCTTCTCCGGGGAGCTGCTTTGCTCTTCATCTCGCTTCCTTTGGGCCTCGACTCACCTCAGTGAGGCTTCCCTGTCTCCCCTTCACACTTTCTGTTGTCGTTCTCTGCTTTTCTTTTCTCCTTGGCACTTTTCACTCTCTAATATACTATTAATTTTACTCATTTATTTGTTCATGGTCTACCTCTCCTACTGAAATGTAAGTAAGCTCCCTGAGAGCAGGGACTTAGCCCACAGCCAGCTCCCCAGTGCCTAGAGTAACGCGGGGTCATAGTAGGAGCTCAGTAAATATTTGTTGAGTGAATGCCTGCAGGTGCTTGATGTAAACTGTCAATTTAGCCACTACAATAGCAGAGAACAGTAGTGAACATGTGGGGGGAAATCAAGGTGAGGGGATAGCTTGTAGAGTGCCCGAGAGTTTGAAGGAAGGGGACGGCATGTGAAATGGTGTGAAATGCCCCAATAAATCAAGTAATACAAGGGCTGGAAAGAAAGGCCCTTTAATTTGGCATTTAAAAGGAAAGGATGAATTTAGGGAAAGCAGAACATAGACTGCAATGGATTAAGCATAAGCAGATGTTCTTGGATGTTTGGGTGTAAATAAGCTGTGTGGGCTACTGACTTATTTGCAATATTTAAAATAAATTTGTAGCAATTGCATTTTTTGTTTGTGTGTTGGCCAAGATTTCACTTCTAATATTTCTGGGGTGCTCTGGCCTTTGCAGACTTCTTTCACATTATTGTAGAATGTTCAAAACCATAAGCAGTGTGGTGAGTGCTGTTACACGTTTCTAGTCTGCCTTCTACTGCTGAGGGAATGCTCTGTGTGTGTGTGTGTGTCTACGTGTGCACGCCCTTAGTCTCATCCACCTCTGCGACCACATGAACAGAGGAATCCACCAGACTTCTCTGTCCATGGAATTTTCCAGGCAAGAACACTGGAGTGGGTTGCCATTTCCTCCTCCAGGGGATCTTCTTAACCCAGGGACTGAAGCACGTCTCTTGTGTCTCCTGCATTGGCAGGCAGACCCTTTACCGTTGTGCCTCTTGGGAAACCTGAGGAAATGACTGAGACCTGGATAAATGCCCTTTCCAAGGTCACATGCCAGGCAGCAGTGGAACAGGGCAAAAAAAAAAAAAAAAATCCGTCCTTTGAAGTCTAGTGTTACTTCCTTTATTTTCATAAGTGATTGATTTATTTTTGTTTTGCATGTATTTTTGTAAGCTAATTAAGTCTTATAGAAAAAAGATGCAGTATAGATAAACCAACAGTATGAGACTGATTGTCTCACTGAGGTGGGCGAGAAAATGTCCAGAGACTGGGTAGGTGGGGCACGTGTTGAAGGCTTTGCTTTGCTTAGTTGTTCGTTTCAGGGATTTGAATACTCATGGGCTCACATTTTACTTTTATTATCAGACAGTGATTCTGGACAGGACCTTTTTCCCTCCAACTGTAATGTGATGAAGATAAATACTATTCCTACTCTGATAAAGTGTTTTGTGTCCCCTACATTGAATTATTTCTGTGTATTTTATGTGAAGCTGCAGTTGAATATCTTGGAATAATTTCACCATCAGTCTAGGTACTAAATAATAGCAGTTAAGAAACATACCTCACCAGTACAGTTAAACCAACCCAGAAGTTTTCTGAGTTGAGAGGAGGCTAGTCTGATCTGTTTTGAGGTCATTTAAGCTTTCGTTTTGTGTGCCATGTTCAAAATAAATTATCCATTACCAGATGGGTGCTGTTTAGGAAGAAATAGCTTCCAAAAGTTGAGAGTTTTGTTATATTTTGTTTGTTGGCTCTACCAGCTCAGGTGTGAATTACAGGTAAGTAGAAGAAATACACCCTTTTGCTTTCTTAATTTCTCACTTAGCAGTAGCTGACTCTTTATGTGATGTGAATCCATTTTATCTTCTCAGGTTGATTTATTGTAGCCTAACCATGCCTGTTTCGGCAGGCAGTAAATGAGAATTTAAGTGAAACAAGTTTTTTTATTTTCCCTAATAGAAATCTATTCTTCCGAAGGTGTCTGCTTTAGAGTCGATATAATTCCAAAGTGCTGGGAAAAAATATGTTTTAGTTTTATGAAATTCACACGGAGCATTGTGTTCACAGGTTTCTGAAGGTCTGCGGATCTGAATTAGTGCGCCTTGAATTATCCTGCAGCCACTTCCTTAATGAAACTTGCTTGGAGATTATTTCTGAGATGTGCCCAAATCTACAGGACTTAAATCTCTCCTCCTGTGATAAACTACCACCTCAAGCTTTCAGCCACATCGCCAAGTTGTACGGCCTGAAACGACTCATTCTCTATAGAACAAAAGTAGAGGTAAGATTTATGCTTTTAGTAATATAATGACCAACGGAATGATCAGTTGCCTGTAATTGCTCATAATAATATGATTTATGATTTTTAAATAAATTAAGTTTGTGACACCACCTGACTATCTTAAAACAATTAGAGCTGATTCAGTCATTTCATAATTAGTCTGTTGTATTTTTTTGTTTGTTTCTTTGTTTTTCAATTTAAGAAAATGTTACCCTCTGTGCTCTTAAAATTTTTGTAATGCTTTTCATGTTTCTAGGTAAAGAAGCAAGCAATAGGCTGAGGTGAGCTGAAATGCTGGCAGGGAATTAATTTGTGAAAGTGGTGGGAGGAAAGTATGTGGGAGGACATTTGCTTGGAGTGAGAGGAAGCAAAGTGGAATTTATCCAGGAGCGAACTTCAGAGTTAAAATTCCTAATGCATAGTTTAGGAGTCTCATTAAAGAAGAATGGAGTCACGTAATATTTATTGATCTCCTTGCTTTTTTTCCACTTAGCTCTAGGACATCTTACCAGATCATTATATCTATTACCACCTGACTCTTTTCATTAACTGTGTAGTTTATGTTTTACCATGATCAACTCAGTTTTTCCCCAGATGGTCAACATTTCAGTTTTTCTAGATGTTTTTCTTTTACAAACCATCTAGCATTAGCATTATTTTGCACAGTTTTCTATGTACTGGCTATTGTTGCTGTAGGATAGAGTTCTGTAAGTAGTACTGCTGGTCAGAGTATGTGCCTGGACCCTTGTAATAAACATCCACTTACTGCTGTATACCTGTTTCCTCTGCTCTGATTGTGTTGGCCTTCTTTCTGTCCCTTGAACATTCCGATTCAGGCCCAGCTCATGGCTTTTTGTCCTGTGCCTGTCTGGAATATCCTTCCAGCTTGTTTACGACTGCCCTTTTCTGAACTCAGTGTCCTACTTAAATATTTTTTTCAGAGATGGTTTCTTAGACATTGATAAAAGGTAGCCTCCCCACTCCCTTCTGGTTGGCTCCTGTCATGTCATATCACCTAATGTATTTTCTTTATAACAACTTTATCACTATGAAATCATCATGTTGGTTTTCTTATGATCATCTGTCTCCTTATACTAGGATATATGTTTCGTGACAGTAGGAGCCTTGTCTATCTTTTTCATTGCCATGTTCCTGATATCTAGTATAGTACCTGGTAAAGATTGGCCATTCAGTAAATATTTAAAGAAATGAATAAGATAGACAAATTACTTTTCCAAAATGACGTACCAGTTGCCTCTCCACTCTAGTGAACCCTTGCCTGCGTTGAATGTTGCCTTGGCCAAGTATTTTGAGAATCATTTACATGTAATGTACTTAGAAGGTGCCAAACACATAGTAAACTCTCAATAAATATTATCTGCTAAAACAGTAGTAAGAGTAATAATAATTATTATGGCAATTCTGTATATGTGTTGCTGTGTGGTAGGGAAGGTCCCCTCTCTCTATTCTTTTTAAATTTAAATCCTTGTGTATTGTTATTCTTCCAGATATATCTTTCAGCAAAGATTTTGTTGGAAGAGCCTTTATTATATTTCATTTTTCTCTTTAATAAGGCTTCATATCTGTTCCTATATGTCTTGTTTTACATTCAAGAGCATGTTATAGTTTTCTTCATTTAGATTTTATATCCTTCTGGTTAAATTTATCCCTTGTCTTTTATAGTCTCAGACACTATTTTCTTTCATTTTATTTGGTTATTTTTAATATAAAGAAAAATTGAGTTTTGTATATTTATCTTGTATCTGCTCCCCTTACTTATGCTTATAATTGTTATAATATAATTTATGCTTATAATTGTTGTAATAACTTGTATCTTTTGAGTTTTCTAATGATATAATTGTATAATCTGGAAATTAATATACTTTTTCTTTCTGTTCCAATGTTACACTAAGTAGAACTTCATAAATAATGTAGAATAATAGAATCACAATAGGTATACCAATCTTATTTCTAATATAGAGGGAATTTTTTCTTTTTTAAATATCTATATGACAAATATGTGCCAGGTACTGGTGTAGGCCCTGAGACTTCATTAGTGAACTAAATAGACAACTCCTCATGTAACTTACTAATTTTATCTATTGTTTGATGTTCTTTCTGATAAATATCATTTGAGTAAGACTATTTTTATCAAAAATGTGTATTATATTAACTTTTAAAGCCTCCATTACCACACTGATCTTTTTTCTTCTTTTATTTGTTAATATAATGACTTATGCTGGACAGTCCTTACATTCCTGGGATAATTCCTACATGTTTTAGCTTAATACATAGCTAGGCTATTTTCCTAATATTTTTGAGCCAAATTGCCTGAATTTGGATTCTACTTTGGATATCACTTACTAATTATATTACCTTGAGGAAGTTTCTTGATGCCCTGTTTCCTTCTGTATAAGTGGATATAATGATAATATACCTTTCAAATGGTTGTTGTGAGAATTAACATGATTTAATATACATGAAGAGTTTGTAACAGTACCTGTTTCATAGTAAACATTCTTTAAGAGTTAAGACTTATTTATCAGTACTTTTTACATTTACTTTCTTAAGTGAAATTGAGTTGTGTTTTTCCTTTTCATGCCATTTTATCATGTTTGGAGCTTGGAGTATGACGAAAGGATTGTGACACTGACATCTTTTCCTTTGATATTTGTTGCTCAGTTGCTAAGTTGTATCTGACTCTTCGCAACCCTAGGGACTGCAACATACCAGGCTTCCCTGTCTTTCCCTATCTTCTGGAGTTTGCTCAAACTTACATCCTTTGAGTCGGTGATGCCATCCAGTCATCTCATCCTCTGTTGCCCCCTTCTCCTGCCCCCCATCTTTCTCATTCCAGTGGGTCAGCTCTTCACATCAGGTGGCCAAAGTATTGGAGCTTCACCTTCAGCATCAGTCCTTCATGAATATTCAGGGTTGATCTCCTTTAGGATTTACTGATTTGATGTTGCTGTCCAAGGGACTCTCAAGAGCATTCTCCAATACCACAGTTCGAAGCATCAGTTCTTTGGCACTAAGCCTTGTTTGTGGTAACTCTCACATCCATACATGACTCCTGATAAAACCATAGCTTTGACTTTGTCGGCAAAGTGATATCTCTGCTTTTTAATATACTTTCTAGGTTTGTTATAGCTTTTCTTCAGGTAGTAAGCATCTTTCAGTTTCATGGCTGCAGTTACCATCTGCAGTGATTTTGGAGTCCAAGAAAATAAAACCTGCCACTGTTCCCCCTTTTCCCCATCTATTAGCAATGCAGTAATGGGACTGGAATGCCATGATTTTCGTTTTATGAATGTTGAGTTTTAAACCGGCTTTTTCACTCTTCTCTTTCACCCTCAAAATGCTCTTTAGTTTCCCTTTGCTTTCTGCCATTAGAGTGGTGGAATAACTTTAATAAATAAGAATTATCTGTTAGCATTTATTTATAAAGCTATCTGGGTGTATAGCCTTTTTATTGGTAGATCAGAGTAGATATCTTTAGCTTGACATAGTTTTTAAACTAATCCATGGAAACGTGAATATAGTATTCCTGACTTGGGGCAGAATTTTAGCTCGAGTTTAACTGGTGACTTGGTGGAAAGAAGACTTTGATGCTAGTTCTAGCCCCAGTAACAAGCTGAGTGATCTCTTAGTGATTTCTTTCACATAGTCTCTCAAGTTCCAGGATTCTTTATTTGTAAAATGGGAAGACTTTTCTCCCTGAATGCCAGTTTGAAGATAGTGCTAGTCCATGTTTTCATTAATCTGTGGTGAAGTGACTCACGATTTATGAGGGTGTAAAATTGTCAGCTATCTTTTCTTGAGTAGATTTTGCATTTTGAAATGTATGCCACACCTGTGTTTTACTGGTATATTTACTGTTTTATATTGCCTTGTGTGCTGTAAAGTTTGATACCCTCTGAGCAAGATAACACCTCATTTAAAAAATCTTCTGATTAAATTTAAGAAGAAAGGTAGCTTAGTTCATTATTAAGTAAACCTTCAGGAAGAAAAATAGGGTAAAAACTAAGAAATTATATAACTTGCTAAGCATCTTACATCTGGGATGATTTGTAAAAATGTTTCCTGTGATACGCTATTGAAATGTTATAAATTCACATCATCTAAGTGTGAGGGAATCATTAAATAGTCTACAATTTTCTTCAATTTACCTCCAGAAGCTGATAGTATATGATTATATATTTTTTAAAAAGTTTGATTTTATAGGGATCTAGAAGATTTCATAGCTCAAGACTGGAGACCTCATACATATGTATCCAAGTCTAAATAGCATCAACTCTGCTTCCCCCAGTCACTTAAACATAGATGTGAAATCATTGTATGATTTCATTAAGTAAAATTTGGTTTGTACCATATGTTACTACCTATTAAAGTTTGTTTTTATTAATCCAGCTGCTAAAAGACCATAAAATCATTTTTTAATTTATGTTAGATGATTTTTCTTATATTTAGTACATAGAAAAAAATATAAAATTGATTTTCATTGATCTGCATTGGACTTACAATAAAATAAAAAATAATCTCATTTTAGTGATACAAATGGCAAAGTTCAAAATGGAGAAAAACCTACCCAGGCAGTGTTGACTTTTAACAGCTTCCCAGCTCTGCATTCGATGCTCTCTGCCTATACTTTATTTACATCTGTTATCATGTCATTCTCGGGATCTGCATCAGACTCCCCTATCGACACTAAGTAACTCAGAGGAATAAAAGGGAAAGACAACACAATCATCTGGTCTCTTTTAAAACAAACCCAAGTGACCACACTGGTAATCGTATCCATCTGTAAGCACCTCCCTGTTACTTAAGCAAAACATTATGGTCTTCCCTGGTAGCTCAGATGGTTAAGAATCTACCTGCAATTTGGGAGACTTGGGTTTGATCCCTGGGTCAGGAAGATCCCCTGGAGAAGGGAATGCAGCCCACTCCAGTTTTCTTGTCTGGAGAATTCCATGGAGAGAGGAGCCTGGTGGGCTACAGTC